GATCGTAGGATCACATGGCAAGAAATTATTCGAAGGTAACGTTCGCCACATATTCTTGTGATGTGATTATGCGAATGAAGTTCTGAGTAGTCGATAAAAAAGTCACAATGATATTAATCCCCCTGTTGTGTATTGTAACCATCGAGTTCTTCGGTTTTCTCGCGACTTTATTCCGATAATTTTAATTTTCTCCTTATGATACGACAGGGTACTCAAAATATGAGATACAAAACTAAGTGATAATATTCCAAAGAGACAATTGTAAGAGGAATTATGAAGTTCATTGATGAATGAGCAAAATAAGGACTCCGTCCAACAACTTTATTGAAGAAGACACAAACAAGATAGATTTATTTCAGTTCAGATTGTTTGTCTAACTTAGGTAAAATACCTAGTGACCCCAATTGTTAGCCATGTTTGATAACGCTCAAGCTACTGATTTGTATAACCTTTAGGACTACATCTGATTATTTGTAATGACTGCCTTTAAAACCTCATTCTGGCTTTGGCACATAACACGATAAAATGACGTGCATAATCAATACCCAACTTCATTGAGTGATACCTGTTGCACTGTCGTCAATGCTTCCAGATAACCATTGTGCGACCATAGAATAACGTGAATATGATTATCAATAATAACGAAAATAAACCACTTTACGTGCTGCTCGTAAAAATATCCAGTTAGACCGCGAACATACCCATAGGAATCTGATTCTAAATGCCACAAACAAACATATAGGTTGAAAAATAATAAAGGGCAGCTCATCTTGAATACCGAGTTGTTATTTACTCTGAAGTAAACGATGGATTGAATCGCTGAAAACAGTAGATATGATGGTAGTCAAAATCCTTGTTTCCGATGCCCCCTCAGTGTCAATTTGTATACAAACAAAAAGATGTTAAAAAATCACATTCTATCAAAATTAGATAAAAGTTGTAAATTACTTTAACCAATTTCTAAGTTGGCGGTTTCAATGAATAAACAGCCGTTCCCATACTAAATGCTCCAATCATTTCAAATGTGCAGAATAGCATTTTATACATTGAGAAGCGCGATGTAGTTCACACAAATGTTGAGAATAGTATATCATTCACTGTCACATAAATTTAAAGTTTTAACCCAAAGACATCTCTACCACAATCGACATATGTAATATTTTGTCGACTACATATAGCAATTATAATTTAGTAATGTATCACAAAGAAAAAAGTGTTTACATGTGACTCTTTAAAATATTTCTGTCAGGAGTAATCAATAATTTTGACTATCTTTAGAAAAGACTAACTTATTCATACAATCATAGTATACATTACTCTCTATTTCATTGAATAGGTAAACACAACTAATTATGAAGTAAGCACCTCCAATATCAGAATACATCATTATTGTATTCATTATCAATCATTCCAAATAATAACCAAAGTGATTACAATCATGACAATCACAAAGAATGAAAAACAAATAATTTCTCATAGTCTCTCATTGATTACTCTGTATAAAAATAGAATTAGGTAGCACACCACAATGAATCCAACTAAATATCATTCGATTCGAATTGATTGATTTGCAATTTTGTGAATGATGAAATGCGGATTATTCAACACTGTGACGAATTCGATAATTGCAACAGAAGTAATAAAAGTACTATTTCCCAACATGTTAATGACGAGCTCGTATCACAGAATGAAATCTACATTAGTTGGAGTCCCACAAAACTGGTGAACTGAGTGTTACAATTCGGAGAGTGAAATATGTGACACTACATTCATTCTGCTGACAATGAAATAATCAGGTGAGTTATCTGAAAAGCATTCTTGTGAGATGACTTTATAAAAGTATGTTGGGAGTGTCGCAATTCCTGATTTCAGTTGAACAGCTCAGTCACATATGGTACATGTAACATCCACACTTGAGTGACTTTCAAATGTGAAAGTACTACAATAGTGAATAAATAACCAATTCGACCTGCTTGAATATCTGGGCTACGTGTTCCTGCCATCTGGATATTTTAACGAGTTATCTGTTACCTCATTCGTTTTAATACATTATGCTTATTATTCGCATAACCTATTCAGTTGTGTTTGTGGAAATTTTACATTTCGATATACAATTTACAAAAGAGCCCAATCGGTGACATCGTGGTTTCTGGCAATATTCATGGATAGAATATACTTTAATTAGATGTCAATTCCTGAAATGCTAACATTTAACTGGCGTTCACCTAATGTTTATCGCATGGTTCGATCAAGAAATAATTAAAGGAAAACTAGTTGAATTACTTTGTCCTGAGAATTCTATTTTGTACCAAAAATATAATGTTAAATAAAGTCACTAATTGACTGTTTCGAACTAAGTGAATACAGCATTACCGAATAATCTTCGAATTTTGTCATAAAAATTTTATTGAAACAGATTTGAATCTCTATCCTCTAACATATGAGCTTGACAATACAAAGCTTTTCATTTTGAGTAATTTTGAATCATGTTTGTTTGGTGGAAATTTTATGCAGTCCTAGTGCATTCTTCACCAAAAATATCAATTTTTATGCACTAGCTGTTCTCTTTCTGATATTCTTCATTTCAAACGCTTCGTTAAAAGAAAATATGATAGTAGTGATCCTTGGTGAACATGTCATTAAAGACCATATCACCTAAGCAAATTGAACCATACTTGCTTCTGTTCTATATTTAAATGCAAATGGTGTTCTTTACCAAACTAAGCAAGTGATATATGACGAGTAAAATCACTGGCATTGAAAAAATAACTATATTCGAACACTAATAATTATCACTGAGTAGATTCATGCAAGCGAATGTTCAATCTCAGCCAAAATATATTTGTATTCAAATAATATATTCACTAATTATATCAGCTTGAAGTTGTAGATCACTAACTTAGATAATCTATGTCGAATGATTAGAGGCCAACTCGAGTTAGACGGGACTGGTGTGGCAAACCAGCTAACTTCGAATTCACACCCCGCGGTCAATATCTAATGTGGATTACCCCTTCGACGTATCAAAGTACTATGGCTGCTTTGAAGACCGTATAACACAAAGGACGTTATTATGGAAATATATTAGTAAGAATTAATACAGAGACCACCACCGTATGCACCAGTCCATGACATACGATTAGCTGATGTGCTTTGGTTATTCTTGACGTGGAATGATGATCTTTTTGATATTCAGTGACCCAACTGCCGAATGATTTGGCTAGGGCTCAGTGACATTCCACTGGCCCTAAAACGTGTTTAATCGATTTGACTAGGCTTCATATAATTGTCATTTAGGATCTGCAGTGATATCATGATGTTCGAATAATTATTATTACGGTGTCAATTTCTTATCTATCTCATGAATATGTCATTCCATCATGATAACAACTGACAAGTTCTAACCTCTCATGTACCTTGAACAATATACATTTCCGCCTCCGGAAAACAAATTTTGTCTTGTAATATTGCAGTTAGGGCTTTGAGAAAATATTCATTAGAAACCATATACCTGAAGTAAATTAGTCAAATAATAAACTAATATCTCATAATATTTTGATTTAAGACGTAACTACGATTGTTATACTTCCTTTTCTTATAGTCAAGGGTTTCCTATTAAAATTTCTTACACTAAATCTATTTGAAATGCATCGATGAGTTGTCATATCAATAAAGTTAATTGAAATTCAACTGGTGGCTAAAATAGAATTTTATTATATCTTCATTTTAAATTTCAAGAAAAGTAATACTGAAATGACTATCAGTTTTAAATGTAATCCACTAATAATTATCAATGTTACTCCTCGTGGAGGAGCATAGGCCACCCACCAACATTCTCCATCCAACCCTGTCCTCGGCAATCCTTTCCAGCTCCTTTCAGTTGTTGTTTATCTTCTTCATATCTGCTTCTATTTCCCGACGTAATGTGTTCTTTGGCCTTCCTCTTTTCCGCTTCCCTTCACCATTCCGAGTTAGGGCTTGCTTCGTGATGCAGTTTGATGATTTGCGTAATGTAGGTCCTATCCATTTCCATTGTCTTTTCCTAATTTCTTCTTCAGCTGGAAGCTGGTTTCTTCTCTCCCACAGAAGGCTATTACTGATGGTATCCGGCCAATGGATGTTGAGTATCATGCGTAGACAACTATTTATAAATACTTGCACCTTCCTGATGATGGTTGTAGTAGTTCTCCAAGTTTCAGCTCCATACAGTAGAACTACCTTGACGTTCGTATTGAAGATTCTCACTTTGATATTGGTTGAAAGTTGTTTTGAGTTCCATATATTCTTCAATTGTAGGAATGCAACCTTTGCTTTGCCAATCCTCGCCTTTACGTCTGCATCTGAATTATCGCCTTCAATGAATATGTACATAACTTTTGATTTATCACAAAATATTCTTAAAGAAAATCACATACTGAACAGTATAAATAATAAATAAAATTTGATTACATAATAATCTGTCATTCAACTAAATATATTAAACTGTATACTTTTATTTTTAAGACAAATAGGCTTTCAATAGTTAAGATCATGAGTCAGTTGAAGCTAGATCATTGAAATTACTACAATCTCTGCAAAATCAATCTGATATTAAACATTGACAGATAATTCCCATTTAAACATTAAAATTAAAACACGAATTTCAGCGAAGGGATCTCTTTTCAACGAATTTATTATCAAGCTGTACAATCTTATATCTATATGAAAATTTTGTTTTTGTAAAAGTACTAATTCCGTGAGGAAATGTGAACACAGTTAATAAAAAAAGGGTTGCAATACTAGATTACGTAATATGAATAATAACAATGGATTTGGTGAATATAATAAGATGATTAAAATGATTAAAATGTTTTTGATATAATAATTAAAGGTCATGGAGGTGTACAAAAATAAACTGATATGATGAGCGTTCATGAATAAAACAATGAGAATATAAGACATAAGTAAAGGGGGAATGCAGTAATAATAATAATAATAATAATAATAATAATAATAATAATAATAATAATAATAATAATAATAATGATAGGATAATCAAACTAATTAAGGCCAAGGTAATGATAACGATAAGATGTACTTCTTTTGTACGCATAGTTCTGGTTTAAGCTCCTGGATGGCAAGAGCTTCGGCTATTTTTAAAAGTTGTATACGAAGAAATCTGGGTAGATTTGAACGAATCATATAAACAACCTTAAAATCAATTTGTGGATCTGTTGAATGGTTATAGTCGATTAGGTGTTCAAGAATAGAACTCCTAATTGCTTTCCTTTCACCCTTATAGAACCAGGCTGGGATATGTTCTCGTATCCGAGTTGAAAGCGAGCGCTGGCTACGGCCAATGTACCTTGCTCCACAAGAGCAGGTGAACTGGTAGATGCACATGGAGGCGACCAGACGCGGGAGCTTATCTTTTATGGATACAGAAAATAAGTTTCTACTAGTGAAGGATATTCGCAGTTTTGCCGCGTTAAATGTTCTTCTAATAGTTGTTGTTAGACGGTTTTTGATTACGTCCGATGTTCGGTCACCTTTAAATTCCAGACTTATATAAAGGTTTTTCTTTGGAACGGAACAACTAGAATTCTTCTCGCGACTACTTTTATTCATATTCTTTTCTACGAACCGTTCTGGGTAACCATTTTCCGTTAAAGTCTTCTTCAGGAATGCGAGTTCTTCGTTAATGCATTCCGTACTGCATATGTGATGTATGCGATGGCATAAAGAATGGATAAGGTTTCTCTTCCTACTTAACGGAACCCAGCTATAGAAGTTGGTTAGCTGGCCATTCCATGTTTGTTTTCTAAAGATGGATCTTTTTAAAGAACCATTACTCGTTCTCATCAGACGTACATCGAGAAAAGGAATTGATTGGTCTTGTTCCCTTTCTAACGTGAAGTCTATGGAAGGGTGGCACGAGTTAAAGGTATGTAGAATATCATCTAAATCAATATTATTGTCACAAACAACAAACGTGTCGTCCATGTATCTCACGTACAGGTGGAATCGATTGATCATTGAACGGAGTTGGTCGTTTTCTACTTTTGCCATGAAACAGTCTGCTAAAATTGGACCCAATGGAGACCCCATTGCGATCCCATCCCTTTGTCTATATATTTCATTATTGAAACTGAACTGGACATTAAAAGTACAGCGTAACAATAATTCTTTCAAATTTTCAGTTGGCAAACCTAGATCTATATTGTTAGAATCAATATACTCACATAAATAACATATTGTTTCGGTTAAAGGTACGCTAGTGAACAAAGAATTAACGTCAAGCGAGAACATGTGTTTTTCGGAAGCATTAACGTCCTTAATACGATCAATAAATTGAAAAGTATCATGAATAGAATGTTTACATACTTGCCTTCTAACCGGTTCCAATTTTTCCGCTAACCATTTGGCGATTCTGTGGTATGGAGAACTTAACATGTATTTTCGGTAGTCCATATAAGCGCAGGATGACTGAACAAATAAGCTTATCTTATATTTCTTTTTCAAATAAAATAATGTAATCCTATTACAATATTAGAATTGAAATGACATTTAACACTAACAATAAACATTATAGTTAACCAATCAAATGTTAGAAATTTTATTCAATTCTTAATAAACTTGTTTAACAAATTTGTTTTAATTTATGACAAGAATAAAATTAAAGTCAGTTGTCAATTCAATTTATTTATTTTTATTTTAATTATTAGATTATTATTTTATGAAACAAAATAATTATTTTAATTATCATGTGCATTTATTATATTTCATTGTAATCTTATGTAAGCTAATTTGTATAGAATATAATGATTGAAATAAAATATTATCTAGTCAACAATAATACAAATGTTCAATCAGCTTGGTTTTATTCAAGAATTACAAATATGGAAAAAACTACACCGAATCCTTTTGATACTTCAGAGAATATAGGAAAAATACAGAAAATATATTATCTTAAATCTGATAATAATATATGCTTTATTATGAAAGCAGAGATTAAACTTGTTATCCCTTTAAAAGTAAGTCAATTAACTTTTCATTGTTCTAAGTAAAATACAATTGGAGCCATTTGATGATACAAGTGTGAATTCTATGGTAAGTTTCAAATGTATTAGGATTATAAATATGACTAATTGATGAATGACAATTAACATAAATGCTAAATTTATAGCTTCCTGTTAATTGTTTTCAACCATTCGATAAATTAACATCTATTTAGAAATTTCATAGGTTGAAATCATGAGTTGATTGAAGCTAGACCACCATGAAAAACCTGGAAGCACTGGACGGCCCATACTAGGACGAAACGGCCGTCCAGTGCTTCCAGGTTTTTCATGGTGGTCTAGCTTCAATCAACTCATGATTTCAACCTATGAAATTTCTAAAAAAAACTCTCCACAAAACCCATTCTGATAACATCTATCTATCACATTGGAAAGTATTATGAAGGCATCAAAATATTTTGAGAATAGTAGAAATAACTAATTATATCATGTTAAATGAGTAACCTGTACAAAATTTCTTTAAATCAACAAACATCAGGTTAATAAATATCTATTTTTATGGCTTCGGTTGTTTGTAAGAAATTAATTTTGGAAGTGTAAGTTATGTTCGATGGGAATCTTGTAGCTAAACTTCAAGGCTGAATTATATTATTATGGTTACCATAAAATGTTGAACGTTACTAACAATACTGCCTAAAAGCAATAAGCAGCAGAGAGTTCCACAGGATTTGCTTCGGTCGACAGCGAAGGACAGGACGTCTCAGAAAGCTGAAACCACGGTGGTTCAGAATGCTTGTGAGACCTGAAGTGAAGCTAGACAAGACAGTCTACAACCAGCTTGGGTAGCGGAGCACATAAATGATTCAAACTTAAGATTGAAGACTAACTGTATTTATTTCACGAACAATTTGTGTTCCCTACGGACGTGACTTGTTCATACATTACACATGTAAAGCCTATTATCATCATATACTGACGATGCAAGATGATGTTCAGAAGTACGAAAATGTAATTGATGTTGTATACCGACTAGTCATAAAATTTGTGAGTGAATAGCAAAACTATTCTGGTATTCAAATAAAAGTCAATAACCGTTTTCTTGACTAATTATCACATTAGTTTATTAAAATTTCAAATACGAAACAGTTGTATTGATCGCATTCTATTGTTATTTGTTGGCTATCAAAATGTTCATTAACCTATTGATTTTTAATGGTACAACAGTTAATAAGCTTCATCTCTCCGTAATAAGAGTAACCCAACTCTCAACAACTGAATCAATGAGCCTACCAAATAAGTTTCTGCTATGACTAAAAGTATTTGAACTAGGAATCCCAGACTAACGCAATTTAGACCAAATAGAAATAGATGAGCACAAACGAACGTATTGTATTTGAAATCAGAGATCAGGTAGTCATCAAGTACAAAGGAACCATTAGTTCATACAAACACTGCAGTTTCACTACTCTGTATCCATTTCTTCTCTCTCACTCTGTTATATGCAGATCAGGTATGATGAAAGTTTATACTCACTTTCATCCACTGTTTCAAATCAACTGTGAGATGACCTTTAATTATTATACTTGATGATTTTCATTTCACAGCCATTCAAAAACAGTTTTCAAAAACTTCAAATGGTCACGGTGAGAACTTCAAAGATATAAAGTTCATCCGATATCGTCTTGATGTTGACGGAACACAGACTAACTGTGTTCCAAACAGCGATTTGTTAATCAACCTTCAGTAAAGTATGGTGTGTTTTCACATTTGAAAGTCACTCAAGTGTGGATGTTACTTACATGTACCACATGTGACTGAGCTGTTCAACTGAAATCAGGAATTGCGACACTCCCAACATACTTTTATAAAGTCATCTCGCAAGAATGCTTTTCAGACAACTCACCTGATTATTTCATTGTCAGCAGAATGAATGTAGTGTCACATATTTCACTCTCCGAATTGTAACACTCAGTTCACCAGTTTTGTGGGACTCCAACTAATGTAGATTTCATTCTGTGATACGAGCTTGTCATAACATGTTGGGAAATAGTACTTTTATTACTTCTGTTGCAATTATCGAATTCGTCACAGTGTTGAATAATCCACATTTCATCATTCACAAAATTGCAAATCAATCAATTCGAATCGAATGATATTTAGTTGGATTCATTGTGGTGTGCTACCTAATTCTATTTTTATACAGAGTAATCAATGAGAGACTATGAGAAATTATTTGTTTTTCATTCTTTGTGATTGTCATGATTGTAATCACTTTGGTTATTATTTGGAATGATTGATAATGAATACAATAATGATGTATTCTGATATTGGAGGTGCTTACTTCATAATTAGTTGTGTTTATCTATTCAATGAAATTGAGAGTAATGTATACTATGATTGTATGAATAAGTTAGTCTTTTCTAAAGATAGTCAAAATTATTGATGACGTAAGCACTTTTTTCCTTGAGATGGTAGAAAAGATTTGTAGCTCAGGTAAATGATGTTGATGGGGTTTTGTTCTCTGATCTGGATGATTTCGTCGGGGAGCTTACATTTTTCTTCTAAACAACATCATCAGCAAAAACTGCAGGTAAAAATGGAATGTTCGAATTTCTCCACATATAATTCACAGCTTGTCTCGTTGACCTTGATGTCGATTGGTTATTGTTGACCTTAAACCAGTCATTGTTTACTTCTTTATTTCGATTGTATCTCACATTGACTTGATTCTTGGTTCTATATTTCTCCATAATCTTTTTAATTGTTTGATAATTTGGATCACTTTTTTTGTGTTTGTTGATTGTTGATTGATATGAGTGTTAAGCTTCTGAAAATTCTCTGGTGCTTTTGGAATTGCCTCTATCCAAGTGCTCAGCATTTTCCTAGTCGAATATATGTCCACAGTTATCCACATGCATTGATATAGGCGAGGATATGTCGTGGTGTTTGACCACTAATTGATGTTCAAACAAGTGAAAATAAAGGGGGTTTGCACTTTGTTCTATCCAGTGTTTTTCGCAATTGGAACAATTTATCTTGTAGATGATGTACTGTTTTTCTTTTATCATTTCCTCTTTTGGTTTGCATAGGATTGATTGCCTTGATTTTGTTGGTTTACGTGCTACACCTATTTCAAAAGGTTTCAAAAATCGTGATGTGGTTTCTGATATGCCTTTTATGCATGATAGGATGATCTGTTTATTTGTCTCCGTACTTCACTTTGTTCCTGATGGTGCGTTTGTCTGATATTTTTTCTTTTCTTTTTTCTTTGTAATACCTTCGTAAATTGTAGTTATATCATATGTGGTTGACAAAATATTAAATATCTTAACGATAGAAAAAAACGTGTTTATTTTGTAAATTTGTACTTTATGTGGCGGTGGACTATATGCTCTTCTTATCTCTAATAGGAATCAGTGAAATATTAAGGTTATTTATGTAACGGTTAGTTAGCAGTTTATGCAAATTTAGAAATCCACTAGACTTATGTAGTTCTGTTTAGCACTTTACTGCATATTATATAGTAGATAGTGTTCATCGGGTAATTCACTGTCTACTAACTCTTGATCAATAGTCTTAATGTTAATAGGTTGTATCGGTATGGCTTCAACTTGAAATAATAATCAACGTTTTGGATAAGTTAGTTTGAAAAAATTAATGTAAGACAACTTTTCCACGTTCTCTGTTTTTCAGCATTTCATTAAATTATCAGATAGTTGCTTAAACATCGTTCAAATTATAACTTCATATAAAAGATATAATTATGAATTAGTGCTGAAAAGAATTTCAAATTTCCTATAGAATACTCACTGTATTATTCGATAGTGGCTAGGGTTTTATTTTATTTTGATCTATATCAAACAAATCAACTAATTGATTGTTCACTTCAATGTATTGTTGTTGGGTTGGATCGTTATTTTTCCTGTAGTCTTTGTTTCGAAAGCATTTCTTTCCTCGAACAATTATTAACAGAGCTTACAATTTTATTTTATTTCAATCTATGGAGGCTGAATGGATCATTTTTGTTGTTATGTGATAAAGAAAGTTCTATATTTAAAAATATATGCACCAGCTATTTCATCCTATAGAAAAGTAAGCTTAACAAAAGATAACAAAATCAAAAACAACTAATTATTAAGAAATATAACAGAGGTAAAGCATAGTGGAACTCATCGTAGCGACGTTACATGACTGTTTTATCTCTACTCGTTCCTCTAATTTGACCCATTACGTCAAATCTGTGATGAAATTTTTATTTTCACAATGTATTGAATCATAATTTTAACTACTATTAATGAATTGCTGTATTATTTTGATGTAGTACTTGGTAAACTATAATAATATTGATGAATCGGAGACGCTTCTAATCATGAAATCCAGATATCCAGCTTCAAAAGCTGGTTTCACTAATATTTTGATTTATGGTGGCTCGAAAATTTGATAAAGCAACGAGATTAACATAATGGTTAATCTGATAAATTCCTTCATCCAACCTATCTCTTAATCACAGCCGTATAGTTTACAGAATAAAAAGTCAGTGACTAAATACATAAATATATGTAAACTTATGGTTTGTGT